CGAGGAATATGCGTGTTATTTACTAAATCATTTGCCCTTTCTATAAATGACTTCAACAAAGGGACTCTCCCATAGCTGAGGGACTTGCTCTAGCTGAGGGACTCGCTTAATAAACATGGTCATCCTCATCTTGGGAATTTAATGATAAGGCAAAGGGCGTGCTCTGAGAGTTTAAAATAGGCTGTCCTTAAAAAATCCCTCATGCTTGAGAGACTATGTAATGTTATATTTGCGAAAGCCCTAAACCGGGGTGTCGTCTCCAAAGAAGCGCGTCGCCGGGGTGATGACCCATAGACCCACCCAAAGGAAACCTTGTCGTGTGGGTGATAAAGAAGAGTCCCCATTAACTCCTAGAATATAAATGGTCAATAACTCCTCTAGAGAAGAGGGCAGCGGTTGATGCCACTAAGGGTGATTCAAATCATAGGTCCTAAGACCACTATAATTACATCTCCCTCAAGGAGATAGACATACCCTAAGTAATACATAGTCTTAATACTATAAAGAGCACAACACTCACTACCGTCTTAACACACGACAATTGGTGATTATACACTTGCACCCAAGCATCACTGGTCATCAGCAGAGCCTCTTACCTTATGCGAGTAAGTCTAAAAAATAACCTCAAAATACCAACATACACGACTTCTCGTTGTTGTGGGCAAGCCCTCACCACCTAAACATGTTATAAACCTACTAAGGCCTTTGAGTCTCACTGCCCTTGCAGGGGGGAACATGCACACTTGTAGTTTTTGACCAGTATATTTTATATATGACTGATGAATATTTAGCAAGTGTACTAAAAATGCCGCCAAGTAATAAAATCAAAGTTTGTATCCACATGGATTGTTTTATTTTAAAAATGAAATTTAAAAGTATTAGAATAAACAAATGAAAGTTATAATATATTAAAGCAATCAGACATTTCTCAAATCCTTTATTCGTCATTATTTGATAATTGCATCAATTATCTTAAATTGGCCCTCTAGTATTACGATGAGTTAAAAAATTAGTTATTCTCAATTTCTTGATGTATAACCTTCTCTTTTAATAAAAAACCCCTAATCTCTTGGGCGAATTCAAAATCAAAATAGGTTTTATCGCTTGTTTATTCTTATATCACAAAATTATAATTTTCTATTCCTAAAGTGATTACTAATTTTGAACAGTTAAGTTTGGTCAGGTTTCAAAATTTAAGGTCAATAATCATTCAAAACATAGATCAATTCATATATTCGGAAATATACAAAAAGTATTAAGAACAAAACATAACTGAATAATACTAGAATTACAAATTAATAAAATAGTATCTGACCAAGTACACGGTTCAAACATATCAAAATAAAATCATATCAAAAGGCTTAATCTAAGAAAACTTAGCTACTCATAATCAAATTAATAATAACAATAAATTTAGAAGAAAGATACATGAATTTAGAGATGAAAATTGGTCCATATTTCATCTCCTTGAACTCTTGCAGCCATCAAATACTCTTTAAAACCTGGTTTAATCATACTTTAACCATGTTAGGGTTGGTTGGAAATATACATGTTGAAGAAGTATCATATTGCTTATTTTTGTAAAAGAAAAGGGAGTCTAAGACTATATATAGAACTGAAGTTTTTCCAAGTCCCACATCGTTTAGTTTAGTGATAGAAGAGAGAATCCAAGACTATATATAGGATTTGAGTTTTTCTTTACAAGATGTACCAGTCAAAAACACTTTAAGCTTGTATTTAATTTATCTTATACTTTTATTTTAGTGTTTTATGAGAGGTAGTTAAATATTTGTTTTGGAGAGTGTGGGTGTTTTGGGGACTTGGGGGTGTTTGAGGGTAGTCTATGTGTTGTAACAATTTTCACGTAATGATATTCTCTGGTTGTCATTTGACAATGATCGTGGTTTTTTTATCCAATTTTGGAGTTTCCACGTTAATCTCTTGTGTTGTTATTTTGTTCCTCTTTTTCTCTATGTTTTGTTTTTCTCAACAAGTGGTATTAGAGCATGTTTTGAGGGGTACAAATTTAGTATGCTCTATGGTTGCCATTTTGTCTGATCTTCCACATCAGTAAAGAAATTTCATACTCTGTGTTGGTTAGAAAAATTTTATTTTATTGCAGGAAAGGTTTTATTTGCAATGTCAAGTTTTTTAAGTACAATGAATATTGATTTAGAGAAATTTGATGGAAGAATCAATTTTGGCTTGTGGAAAATTCAAGTCCAAGATGTTTTGATACAATTAGGATTACAAAAGGCATTGAAAGGAAATGTTTCCAAAATGGACAACGAGAAATGGGAGGAACTAGATTTGAGAGCTTCGAGTATAATCTACATGTCTTTGGCTAAGAATATTCTTGTGAATATTATTGGTACGTCGTCAACCAAAGAGCTTTGGAAGAAACTTAAAAGGCTATATCAAGGAAAAAGTATATCAAATCATTTATTGTTTAAGGAGCAGTTTTATAGCTTGTGTATGGATGAATATACAAAAGTATCTGATCATCTAAATGTTCTAAATGGTATTATTTCTTAATTAGAAACTATTGGAGTCAAGATTGATGATGAAGATAAAGCTTTGAGACTCATATGGTCTCTTCCATCTTTCTATGATCATATTAAACCAGTTTTGATATATGGGAAGAAAACTTTGAGTTTTGAAGAAGTTGTTAGTAAAATTATTTATAAAGAAAGAGATTAAAAGGTAAGGATAATACTTCATCAAAATCAGTGTTGGTTGCTAGGGGAAGAACTTATGCGAAGAAAAATAATGAAACGAGTACGAGATGTTGGAAATATGGAAAGATTGGATATATGAAGTATAAGTGTCCTGATGGAGCAGCGTTAAATGCTAGTACTGTCTCTCTCACTATGAGAGAGGATGATCTTATCTGAATATTGAGAAGTGTGTCCTCATGACATTTCCGATGTCATGGAAAAAGACGTGTTATTGTTAGCAGATTAACACATGAGCATTGATGCAAAGTGTGTTGTGAGTTCATGATGCAAAGTGATTTAGCTTCAAGTGAAGTATATTCTTCTTTAGGTGGAGTATGATAATTTTTAAAACTATGATTGTCGGTGAAGACAATATGAAAATTCTTGGAGTTGTGTAGTTTTAAGTGACTACACTCTTTATGATGGAGTATGATTGTCGGTGAAGATAATGGAAGCTTATGTATTAGTTTCAATCAAGGTGGAGATTGTTAGGGTTGATTGAAAATATACATGTTGAAGAAGTCTCATATCGCTTATTTTTGTAAAGGAAAATGGAGTCCAGGACTATATATAGAATTAAAGTTTTCCAAGTTCCACATTGCTTAGTTTAGTGATGGAAGAGAGAATTCAAGGCTATATATATGATTCAACTTTTTCTTTTTAAGACATATCAGTTAATTTAAGCTTGTATTTGGCTTTTTTATTTCCTCTTATACTCTTATTTTAGAGTGCTGTAAGAGGTTGTTAAATATTTGCTTTGGAGAGTGTGAGTGTATTGTGGCCTTAGGGTGTTTAAGGGTAGTCTATATGTTGTAACAATTTTCACATAATGATATTCTCTTATTGTCATTTGACAATTGTCGTGATTTTTTCTTCGGTTTTGGAGTTTCCACGTTAACCTCTTGTGTTGTTATTTTGTTCCTCTTTTTCTCTATGTTTTATTTTTTTCCAACAAACCATTCTCTTACTTCTATTTAATTAGAAGTTAATATTGGGCTTTTAGGGTTGAGAGACAAAAATTGAATCCACAATTGTGTATTGTAACAACCTCATAGTTTTCGTCTCTATTTTTTGTCAATTTATATTATGATTTAGACTTTGACTTAGTCATAGAAGTTGTATCTCTGGATGTTTATTTTCGTTGCAAGAAGTCCCACTTCAATCCAAGTTACGAAACTCTAGATATGCTCAAATTACTAGACAAATATCATGTTGTAAATTATACTGAAAAATACTCTTTTCTTCACAATTTCTCCACTTTTTCATCTTTCTGCTTTGATTATTCACTTCTTCATTTTCTTCTTATTTCTTCATAAAATTTAAACATAATAACCGAAAACTAATAAAAACATAATGCAAATGCTTAGTAAAATTACATGATGACAAAATATCATCAACGACCGTGCCTCAATCTATCCTAGTTTATAGCAATTGTACCTATAATACAAATTAGAAAATCATATCAAAATCAAGACAAATAAAACCCGGAGATGCATCTCCGTAAAAGAGAAAAGACAAAATCTAGAGATGCATCTCCGTAAAAATGCGAGATTGCAAAAAAATGCATAAAACACCTTATGATTCCCTAAACACCAACAAATATAAATGCATGTCTATACACATTACTTATTTTAAATCTAACTACAAACTAATACATTTTAAACAATCTATTTTACCTAACATATACATCACAACTCAAAAATAGAAAGAAAATGAAAAATTTACCTGAAATTGATTGCAATGAAATAGAAATAATGTTGAAGCTTGATAAATAACGTAATTAATTCTTACTCACAAGCTCTTTGAAAAATTTGTGAAAATATAACAAATGAAAAAGGAATAGAGAATGGTCTAGGTTGAATTATATTAATTAAAATTTATTTAAAGATACATTTCCGTAAAATTCATTAAATATAAAATATTGAGTTTAAAAATAAGGATTTTCACGAATACATATCTCCAAATACATTTTTAGACAAAATGAGATATGTCACTCACTCCTATTGCATTTCCTAAATTTTGTAATATTGAACTAACCCTCTGTGGGTGGATAAAGTAAATTAAACTTTATTAAACTAAATTAAACTAAACTTTAGGTTAAAAAAACTGTTTTGAGTTTCTATTCAAAATATTTGCCTACTCACCAAATTCGTAAAGGACCATTTTCAATTTCGCAGTTAAAACGGTGTCGTTAAACCCTCTCCCCCCCAACCAAGTGAGCCGTAAAACCCTATATTTCGTTTTGGGTCAGAGAACAGTGAAAGAGAACAACGCTTCACAGTCATGGAGGAAGAAGAAATCGAGAAGAGAGCTGTGAGAATATTCGTCGGAGGATTGGGTGAAGCCGTCACCACCGAAGACCTTCGCCGGCTATTCGAATCACTTGGCACCGTTCAATCAATCGAACCCATCCGAACCAAAGGTCGCAGCCTCGCATACCTCGACTTCCTCTCCGATCCTAAATCCCTTTCCAAACTTTTCAGCAAGGTAGCAACAACGTTCCTCACTTCACTTAATCAATTCCATATCATTAAATTAAATTTTGAGTTTAATTTTGATACTGTCAAAGTTTTAAGCTATGTACTAGCGTTTGTTTGGATTAGTGGTATGTGATGGAATTGAATGAAATTTAGTGGTAAATAATGTGATTCTATTGTTTGGATTTGTAAATAATGTTTGAAGTGGAATGGAGCATGATGTAATCCATTCTATCCGATTTGAGGTGTATGCAACGGAATGGAATAGCTAGGAATCTATATTCCATTTCACTTCGCCCCATTCCGTTATGTTCCATTCTGCTCTGCTCTGCTCTGTTCCATTCTGCTCGTTCTATTCCGTCAATCCAAACATAAGTGATGATTATGTTGGCATTTGCAGTATAATGGGTGTGTGTGGAAAGGTGGAAAGCTTAGACTTGAAAAGGCTAAAGAGCACTACCTTGATCGGATGAAAAAAGAATGGGAAGAAGACAAGATTCTTAGTATCAAACCACCAGCTACTGAGATTACTACTCAAAAGGAGGTTTTGGTAAAGGAAAAGCCTACTTCAAGACGCATTTTGGATTCAACTGAAAAGCCTCTTAATATTTACTTCCCGAGATTAAGAACGGTAACTTATTAATATTTCTTATTTACTCTATGTTTATTTTAGTATGTTTTATATGATTTATTGTTTTTTCTTTTTGTAGAAAAGTCTATGGCAGATTGCTTTATATTTATATTGTGTTAAGATAGGTTTGGTCAAGTTTTAAACTTCAGTTGTGTTGCGATTATTGATATATATTGCAGACATTTGCTGTTAAAGATCACTGATACGGTCACTGCTGCTAGTTCTTAAGCATCAACAACTTTTATGTTAAGGCCATGATTGCAGTTACAGCTTGTAGTTGCGATAGAAGGATTTTGGAGTGATTAGCGTGAAACTAACTAGGGTTTTGGAATGATTTCTAGGATGAAACTAACTAGTGTAGAAAACTGGTGGCTTGAAGGGTATTGGGATTAGTTTGAGGGTGAGGGAGTGTGGTATGGTGGAAATCAAATCAGAAGGAGTAATTAGGGTTAGGTAATATAGGTTGATGTATGTTTGGGTTGATAATGTAAATGATATATGATAGACTAAATCAAATGAAGAGTTAACCTTGATTTTGGTCGAGTATGCGATAATGTTTGCTGAAGGTAAACTGTATATGGCCATTGGGGCATGCATAGAAAATTTAGAAAATATGAAAGGAAACTGCAAACTTAAATGAAAAACAAAATAAATGTAGACATCATTCCAAGGGTCTGATTGCATTGCATAATAACCAGGTGACTAGAGATTTATTGCAACATCATAAAACTCAGCTATGTTGTTAGTCCCGGATAGCGGATAAGCTGATATTGTAAAGACTAAAAAACAATTTTCAAAATAATCATAAATTCCAACAAGATACATAAATACTCAAAAATAGAAAAGTATTCAAAGTTAAAGGGACTATCATACTTAATAATTATAACCAACTTCATCGTTTCCCATCAAAATCAACTTCTAAATGTAATCAAAATGACATCCCATCAAAATCCACTCCTACAAGAACAAAAATAGAACCACAAATGCAGAGCAAGAATAACATAAATAAAGCACTGAACAAAACTTAACAATTGTTTGTGAGCAATAAAACCTAAAATAAAACATAATTGAAATTAAAGGAGGAAGAACAAAGTGATTGTTTGAGAGCAAGAACAAATCAAAAGGAAGAACATAGTAGAGAAGAGAAGCAATAACGGAGAACAAAACAGAGAAGAGAAGCAATAACAAAGAACAAAACAAAGAAGAGAAGCAATAACAAAAAACAGAACAAAACAAAGCAAGAAAATAAAAACACAAACCTTGCTTTGCAGAAGAACTAGGATGCAGAAAAAGCTGAACACACACGATGAAGAAGCAAACGAAGCAACACAGGCAGATGATAGACAGAGGTAAACAGAAGGAAGAAAGTGGCGAGAAAATGAAAAGAACCGTGGGAATTGAAATATTTGTATATTAGGTCACTTAAAGGGTTCAAATTGCCTTAAAAAAGAGGCATCCAAGGAATTTTCCCTTGAAGCCCTAATAGCGGGCACAAGTCCCGGCTGCGGCCGCAACCCACGTGCAATTTCACTCGCGACCGCCACAACGACTATTGCTGAAGGCAGCTTGCAGGGTGGCGCCGTTGTGCCGGACCCTACCACTGCTATGCTATTTTGCTATAGCTATTGACAACATAGAAACTCATAACTATAAAAGTAAGCATTACATCTGTTGTTTAAATTGGTGGTCCTGCAATAGTTTAGGATTAAAAACATAACCCAGTAATGATGGATTAATGCGTTCATATCTAGATTATTCATGTGGAATTAGTAGTCAGTATTATAATCATTACTAGTCTTGAATGTAGAAAATATTTGATCTTTACACTTTCGCTCTCTCTTTCTTGTTGCTATTTGCATACAGTTTCACTTTGCCTGTCTTGTAGCTAAAGCTCCTCTTTCTTGCTGCATCCTTGTTGAGGAAAATATTATTCCTCATCGACGTTATACTTGCTAAAAATACTATGTACTTTTACTGATAAAAAATGTCTTTCTGTAATGCATTTTCAGTGGAATGATTTTGATTATTAAATTGCTTTCATAATTGAGTATATCCAAGTATACAATTGTTCAATATTTGAAATTTATTTTTGCTTTTGCATAAATATTTCATTGCTAAATCACTTGACCCAATTTTGCACCCTACAAATATACCGGTGCTGCTGTGCAGGTGAAATCCATACCATTCAGTGGAACTGGCAAGCACAAATATAGTTTCCAGAATATTAAAGTTCCTCCTCTCCCTGTGCATTTTTGTGATTGTGAGGAACACTGTAGTCCTTTTATCCCTAAAAAGGAAAAGTTATCTATGAATACGGCAACTGAAACTGGTGGAATAAATGATGAAGAAATTAACATCATGAATGTTGTTATGAACAAGCTGCTTGAAAAAGAGAAGGTTTCTAACACCAAGCAACTTGGAAAGAAACATGATTCATTTGAATCTCCAGATGCTTTACAGGCTAATAAAGGTGAAGTAGATAGTGCAACAAAAGCTGGTGGTGGTGATGATGATGATGATGATGATGATGATGATGATGATGGTGATGATGGTGATGATGATGATGATGATGGTCTCATAATCAACATTGCAACGAAGAAAAAGAAAACAGCTTTAACAGGGACTCAAGAACTTGAAAAGATCTTGGAAAATCAGGTTAGTTGCATGTCATTTCTTTTTAATTTGGAGAGGGGGACTTCATAAAATCAGGTTAGTTCATGGGGTTGTTTGGCTTAAATAGTTGACTAGTTGATAAGCTAGTTGAATGTTGAGAAATTAATAAGGTTAAAAATCTATCAAGGTAGTTTTTTTAATCAAAATTATTTAGTAAAATTAACGGTTGAACTAGTTATAAATGTAAAATGATACAATACATTATTAGATTTTGTTTTTTTATAAATTATAGTTCTGTATGCAAAAATATATGTTTAAACGAATATAGTTTTAGGCTTTTCATTAAACTTTATCTTTTTGTTTTAAAATAAAATTTTCTAAAAGAATTAAAATTAATAATGTTGTGATTAAATTATTCTGCGACATAAAAAAGTAACCCAACAAAAAGTAGTATGATTGTGGTAATTAAAATCAATATTTATGATATTTTTAATTACATTTTATATTTCCCCTAGAGTATCATTTAACGTCTCATAGAGAAGGAATTGTATTAAAATATGAAGGGTAAAAATGATAAAAAGCTGTCAGTTCATACTTTGATCATTTTCTTAAAAAAACAACTATTGAAATATTTCTGTTTATCAAGTATCTCTATTTTGGTCAAACAGTTTCTAAGCTTAACAATTAAGCTATAAATGTTAGTTTAAAACAAAAGCTATGAACTAGCTGAAAAGTCTAGTCAAACTCAACCCTTTGATTAAGTGTTATCCATTTGTAAAAAATAATAATTTTTAGTCAAACACAGTCCTTTGCAAATGTGAATTTGTCTAGTCAGATTACTTTTACCAAAGAATAGGTAAGCTACATGAAAAAGAGAGAATGATATTTTTACCAAATTAAGATCAACTATTGGTGTTTTCATTACTACCACTACCATAAATGTGAAGCGGAAGATATTGACTTGACTTTCAAGTTATTCGAAGTGACGTTCATTCTGTGACAAAGTTTGTTTGCAAATGTTATAATTTTTGTTGGACAGCGAGAGTAACTGTTATTTTTTGGTCTTCAGGAATGGTCCAATAAAACAAATATTGCAGAGGAAGAAACCATTGAAGTGCAGAAAAGGAGCAACAACAATCCTAACAAGGTAAAGAAGAGAAAACCACTTCCCAAATCAGAAAGCGACAACAATGAAGGTGTGTCTAGTGCCTCTGCTGGCAAGAGTAAAATGCAGACCCTTCTAGATGAGCTGGGATCTGGTGCGCAGCCTACGGAACCAGGATATGATCTTGGGGAATCTGGTAAAGTTTCATGGTCACAGAAGTCTTCATGGAGAGAACTTGTTGGTAAAGGAGGCAATGCTTCCTTTAGCGCCTCTCTCATATTGCCGAAGTTTGATTCTGGTAAAGATCAACAAAATTCTAATGGTTCTTGCACTTCTTCATCTACAAACGATGAAACTGAAGACATGGGAAGTGATGAATCTCAAGCTGAAGACGTGGGAAGTGATGAATCTCAAGCTGAAGACGTGGAAAGTGATGAATCTCAACCTGAAGACGCGGAAAGTGATGAATCCCAACCTGAAGACGCGGAAAGTGATGAATCCCAACCTGAAGACGCGGAAAGTGATGAATCTCAACCTGAAGACGCGGAAAGTGATGAATCTCAACCTGAAGATGCGGAAAGTGATGAATCTCAACCTGAAGATGTGGAAAGTGATGAATCTCAACCTGAAGACGTGGAAAGTGTCGAAACTGAAGACATGGAAAGTGATGAATCTCAACCTGAAGACATGGAAAGTGATGAATCTCAACCTTCCCACGCACAAGTGACAGAAGAGCCTGCTGAAGCTCAACCTACCAATGCACACGTAATAGAAGAGCCAGCTGAATCTCAACCCACCAATTCACAAGTGATAGAAGAACCTGCTGAAGCTCAACCTAAGACGGCACCAAAAATAACCGGCAGAGGTTCTTCATGGCTGCAAAAGGAATCCTGGACCCAACTGGTCAATAAGGATAATAATTCATTTAGCATTTCACAAATTTTACCTGACATCACTTTCCCCGAACAAACAGCCAAGGAACCCATTCTGTACCCTGCCTATTCCAATAATTGCAAGCATAATGGCGCTGATAAGAATACTAATAATGGATCTGTAATTGATGGCTTTAACTTAAGGGAGACTGTACGGGAAAAGAGTGCGCATGCTGGCGCTGATGATATAGTTTCTGCTTCAGTAGCTGAGAAAACAGTTGAAACAAATTCAAGGGAAGGATCCAGTGCAAATGTTGAAATAGGAGAAACTTGCTCATTTATGAGAAGTGCTGCTTCTTTGAAAGAGTGGGCAAAAGCTAAAGCTGCTCTTAGTGGATCACTCAAAAGAAAACATAGTGAGAAGTAAGGGATCAATTCTATGTTACTCATTTAATTTTTACAGTTATTGTTCTAGTACATGGTTGTTACAGGGTAGGTTCCCAAAAAGTTGCAGAATCGAAGACAGCAAGGATAGTTATAATACCCGACCCAGGGTAGGTTTTCAAGATTTTGATGAAAATTATTCATTGAATTCTAGAGGTTTTGGTAATCTAGATTCCTTAATGAAGCCTTTTGACATTTGTTGTCTATAATTAACTTTTTTCGTGGTCTGTGGGACTCAATCCTTGATGGTATTAGTGCAGTTTTTTTTGTTAGATGTTTGGATTGCCATATTTTCGCCTAAATTACTACTTTTTTACGCCTAAACCAAAGTTAATATAGTATTTTGTGTCTAGTGAAATAATTATTTTTTATTTGTTTAAAAACACTATTTTTTCTCTTCTATTCATCAAAACAATCTAACTTCTCCCCAATAACACTAACTATTTTTTTTTAAGCAAAAATATATATTTTGTTTTCAATAAAAAACTAGGCTGTTGCATGTTAACTATTTAGAATATATTAACTATTTTTATTAGGATCTTTTACTTTTTTAACAATATATTTTTATAATATATTTGAATAATTTAATAATATTTTTAGTACATCAATTTTATTTTATGTTTTAATCATTTTATTTTAATTATTATTATCTTAATAATGAAAATTCCATTACTTGATTTATTTTAACCAACTATACATATTTAAATTTTTGTGTTAAATATACAACACTCTGTTTACTCTGGAAATTGGTAAACAACGCTAGTCTCTTGTTAAATGTTATTTTGCGAGACCGACTAGTGAGTCTCAGGACAATATTTCAAATTTAAAGTGTTTTTGAGGTAAGATGTGATGAGTGACTTGGATGCAAGTGACTTTGAGACGATGTGAAATCAACTTGTTTTGCAGATAACAAAACGAAAAGACTTTGGAAGATAAAATAGATTTGCAAGACTTAAGTAAAGTTGAAAGTAAATTTGTTTGACATTAACATGAAAGAAAACTGGTGATTCAAACATACATTGCTCTTGCTTGACTCATTTTGCTCTTTGTTTGGGTACTCTGAGTGTTTGCGTAAGATGTTACAATGTCTTATTTATAGTATAAAAAGTAATTGCTCATTTGGTAGACTTCCCTTCTCCAAGCGCCATGTGTCCATCAGCTTCTCAATTTGTTTTACATGTTCCCTTGTTTGCGAACCCACTAACGAGCAATCTTTTCCCGTGTTCGTCTTTCCATAACTGCCTATTGCAAACAAGCTCCTCATGTTGCCACTGTGCTTTATGTCGACTTGACGTTCTAATTCTTTAACAATTATTTTGAGTCCATGTTCATGACCAATCTCTCTCATACTTCTCCTGTCGCCTTAGGCCACATTTGTTCTCCTTAGTTGGATTTGACCTTTGTCGAAATCCTGACTAACAAATTGTCCCTCAAAATTCCTCTGTCAACTGATAATGAGATGGGGCATTTTTGCCTTCTCTTGTTTAACATCATGGGATGACGTCATTGTCATCATGGCTTTCTTCTTAAAGGTCATGTCCGCAATAATGTAGCCATTATCCTAGTGTAGCTCCAACTTCCTAGGACAAAATGTGGCCCACACTCAACAACTTCCTTATTTCACCTATCAGCGTCTGCCACCTGCGCACCGCGTGGCTGCTCAACGACCCCACTTCCATTTTGTACATCAAGGGTATAAATACTCCAAGAACCTCATTTCCACTTCTTTCTTTACGCTTACTTCCTTGAACCGCGCTTGAGCTCTCTTTCTTTCTTTGCACTTGAACCTCCTTGAAACCATAAAGAACTCTTCACTTTCTACCAATGGCTTCTTCCACTCACCCTCTAGATCAAGCACCAATGACATTTCATGCCTTTAGTCATGAAGCTAGACAAACTATTTGTTGTTAATCAACAACGATATATTTTGGAACCACCGCTGATGGAAGAGAAATTGCTCATTTTGCCTTCTCAAGTAATTATTTCATTTCATATTGGTGATGCTTCACATGCCCTTTTAGGACCTATCCCAGATTTCTCTAGGAATGTTCAAAAAATAGAAGAGTTTTTTCCTGCTTATCACCGTATCAAACCCAAAGTCAGCCTCAATTTCCCTCTCGACTTCAGCCATCTCTATCGATCGCCTAACATTTTCCATTTTGCCCCTACTGTCAGCCCAAACTATATCTCTTGGTTGGATAAAGTTGAAAAAGCGAAAGGTCAATTCTGGAAAGACCAAGGGATCTTCGACTTGATCCAGTTGTCCAGAGTTGACCCCACCTACTGCCCTTATCTTTTGGTTTCTTCCCTTTACTTCTGGGATGGTTCGATTTACATCTTCCATTTCAACTGTGGGATTTTGACTCTACTCTTTTCATCGTGGCAGCCATCATTGGCCTTCGTCCAACCCGACCAACATCGATGAAAACAACATCGGTTTCGACAAGGAATTTGCTAACTTCACTAAGTACATGGAGCATTATCATGATAAAACTGTAAATTCTGTCTCTGGCACTTAACATATTGCTTTCCCGACGTTATGGTTGTCAAAATTGATTTTTTGTTGTAGGTCTCTGAAGGTAGTCTAAAGGTTTATCGCTTTGGCCCACCAACTGCATGTAGGTCGCAACATCTGCTTGAGCAAACTCATCTTGGATTCTCTTAATGAATTCATGGCCAAATGGGTTATTCTCATGACCACCTTGAAGCCTACTGCTAGCTGGACCTTTCTGGTTGCTTCAACTCTGGTTGAATGCTACCTTTGTGCACGTCCTAAAACTTGTTAAATATGAAGAAACATACTCCACCATGAATGATAGAACCATTGAGGGAATTCGTCTTGCCCGCATGACGCCTAATGATTCTGACCTTTTCATGGAAGATGCTCTAAAAAAATATGTTATGATGTTCGCCAGACAATGCTCATTCACCCCTGATATGGCACCTTTTGCTTACAGGCGCCACAGACCTGAATGGTTTACCAGGGAATTTTCTCCTTCCAACCTAGGCCTACTTGTCGAATCAAGGGAAATATAAGAAGATTTCCTCATCCCCAAGCTTATCATCACCAGTCTTGGCCCGAAGGAGGGTGTGAAGCTTCTTTGCTAACTACCGAACTTGGTGGCGTTCCAGTTTGGTTTATGTCAACCAGTGCCTCGTTGTTTTTACACTCAAATGCGTGACCTTTTTCTTTGGTAAGTAAATTTTGACGAGACTGAATATGCTGAGCGTCTGGCTCAATTCGTTCATGACATCCATGTCCTCACTCCCCTTGCCTTTGATCCTGCTTTCTTTTGCACCAAAGAATTTCATGACTGGTGACTCAAATATTATGTGGTCAAATGTGACACTGCTAAAGCGCTTTCCAAACGAATGACTGAGGCTTTTACTGCCATGCAGAAAAAATTCCAACAAGGTAGATCCCAACATATTAAGGATATCCAAGCCTTTCAGAAGTACTTTGAAGTCATTTACAATCCTGAGTGCTTACAAAGGACTATTGGCAACGCTGCTGCGACTTTGAAAGAAAAGTTTCTAAAAAGACTTCCCAGTTTGAATCCCCCTTCTTACATGGCGAACAAAGACAAATATGAGTTTTCTTTCAAACAATATACACCTTTACCAAACTCGAAATTGGCTATGGAATTTCGCATCCCATTTCCCGATTGGTGGCCTTGTGGGTCTTTTTTGAAAGTAATAAACAATAATCTTCTAAAACTAGCACAACGAGTAGTCTCTACTAAGAACTCTTTGAACGACTTCAAAGGACACCTTCATGTCAACATTGAGTGTGTTAAGATTTTGACTCTAATACCTGAAGGTGTAGAAAACTCCCAGACTTATTTCACTCTTTTACTTTCTATGGTTTTTCTCTTCTTACTTTTACTAACCCTTTTTCAACAGTTGAGCATAAAAAGCGTCCCAGACAATCTTCTAGAGGGATGACACTTTTGCTACAACTGACAAAGGACCTTCAAACTAGGTTTCTCTTGTCATTTAACTGAACTTTTGTGCAGTCTGGTTTGCATATCCTTACTTTGCTTTTGTATTGTCTAGGCGCAAGTAGAAATCGTCTTTGACGATCCTCTTCCTAAGCGACCCAAAGACATCCATATCAAAGATCCCTCAGCAGCCAACCGATAGTTCTCTCCAGACATCTCCCCCAAGAAACCCAAGAAAAGTAAGTCCGCTCAAATGACCCCTCACCCCAAAGTCGCTGCTTCTCCTCAACCTAAGGTTGCTGTTGCAGGGAAGACTTCGAAGGGAGCAAAAATAATTAGCTTGAAGACCAAATTGAATGTGGCGACCCTGAACATCGCCCCCAATTAGCCAAAAGTACCAATTTGAGCCCTGAGGGTGGTCTTCAAGTATGCATACTTTTAAAGCGGAGTTTCTTCTCCGTTTGTGTATATGTTGGTCCATGTTATTTTCCTATCGCAACACAATACTGTTGCACAACCCAAATCAACAGTCCAACGATAATCTCATGTTCCACAACAAAAATGTATTGTTCAACAACCATCAGTTATCGATCAGCAAATCCCTTCTATAACTACGACTTCAGCTCTAAGTCTTACTCCATCCGATGAAAGTGACTTACAGTCTCCTCATTATAACATGCCTTCTGACACCATTATTGAAGTTCCCGACTATTCCCCAGCCAACGAGACCCTTTTCGATGATGAGGCAGACAACCAACTACTGCACAACGTCATTGCTACCTTAGTAGGCGACCGTCTCGGTTCTACTGACCCTCTTGTCGATCAAAATCAGCCTTCAAATGATGACATCGAGAAGGAGTTAACTTAAGATGACCCCAACACTTTCCATGCTCGACAGACTCCACCTACTTTGCCAGGGGTGCATTCTTCTACTACTATTTCAGTCAATCAACCACAGGCTCATGTTGCCTCCGACATAACACTTATTCTTGACAATCCTCAACCAACTCATGGCCTCATGTCTCCTGAAGAACTTGTTACT